TTTTCGCCTACAGCCATGATGAGACCGCGCGGCTGCAAGATGAGAACCAGACCAAGAGATGCAGCTTACAGAGTTGTGCACCTGCGTGTTGTCCTGCAGCCGATTCCTGTTAAGTTGTGAGCCGGTGCCCCGCATCCCAGGGCCGATTGCATACAGTCGAGCTCGATTAGTAGGACGATCCTGCAGGATCAAGGGCACCCTTGTGTGTCCTGCAGTTCGTGGCCCATGCCTTCTGGCGCTCCTGCGGCAGCGTGGCCCCGCGGAAGGGTCTTCTGCCCGCGTGCCCTCCCCCAAGTCAGCCCCGACTGTGACACGTGTGCGCGCGCACGGTCCGCTGCAGCTGCCCTCTGGCGTGAGCGCGGCCGGCCGCGCACGCGGGGGGGCGGAGGGGGCGCGCGCGTGCGCACGTCCTCGCTCACGCCAGTCAGAGCCTCATTTGCCTCGTCTTCATGTGCCTCCTCAGCGTCGTCGAATCTCGTCGTCGCTGCCGTCGTCGTCATCCTCGTCTCGAGTCCTCCTGATCCTCGAGGACGTCCCACAGCCGAGATTCGAGATCGGACCCCCGTCGACCGGGACGTACCTGCCCGCCAGGGGACGGGTCTACCGCAGCATCGTCGGCGTCATCGGTTTGGATTCCACTGGATATGTCGAAGCCATCGAATGACTGCACTCGAGTTCGCTCGGGACATACCACGAGACCCGGCCCCAGGCCGATCGTCGGGAAAGTCCCCGGCGTCGAGATTCGAACGTGGTCACGGCCGCGAGATTGAGACATCTCTCGGTGGAGCAGGGGCAGTTTTACCGTCAAGGCCGATTGGGGAGGGCAAGCGATGGGACACGAGACCCGAGGGCCAAATTTCCTTGGGAATATAGAAGGCATGGGTCGCGAAACACAGGACACACGAGGAGGAGGAGGAGAAGAGGAGGAGGAGGAGGAGGAGGAGGAGGAGGAGGAGGAGAGGGATGAGGAGGAGGAGGAGGAGGAGGAGGAGGAGGAGGAGGAGGAGGTGTGAGGTGTGGGCCAGGAATCCTGCCGCGATACCAGCAAGCGTACCCGTGCCGCGAGTAGAGCAGCCCACGATCTTACGACAACGCGCCGACGACTACTCCGGCCTGTCACCGACGCCGGTAACCGCCGACCAGCACGCCGAGGAGGGCAGCCTGCACTCACCCGCCTCGCCGCGAGCGACTACAACACCAACGAACCAAGAGGACGAATGCCATGGCCAGACTCCTGGACCATTACACAGCCGGCCTAGACGTTCAGACGTCTTTGGTACTACTACGAAGCCCCACTGCAGGAGACATGAAGTGGCACATGCGTACCACCGGGTTTCCCGCCCAAGCGGCGACCCAGCTCGACGCCGACCTGCTCAGCACACTGGAAAAGCTAGTGCAAACGCACGACCTCACAGCGGAGCAGAAAGAGACATACTGGCACCCTGTCGCTTTGGGCGGCTTGGGATTCCAGAGTGTGAGCGCAGTGCGGCTGGACGCTCAGGCGGCCTCGCGGACATTCTGCGAGAAGCCAGTTCTCCAACGACTGGGCCTCCGCGACAGAGATGATCTTCTCCATTATTGCCCTGGCTTGAGACCAGCGCTCCACCGCCACCAGAGCACTGTCAACGCGCTGACGCAGGAAGAGGCAGCGCAGCAGGCGCCCGACACGGAGCCGCCCGACACCACCCAGCGGCGCTTTACCAGGCACAGATGGCACGCAGAGTGGGCGCAGTGGCTACGACGCACCCAGACGGAACCGCACCAACGGCCTTGGGCCTTTAGCGCGACAGGCAAGGGAGCAGGCGCGTGGCTCGGCCCGCCCACGCGGCCCGACCACCACCTCGCTGACGCCCACTTCAGGATGGCCGTGAGACACAGACTCGGAGGTCTTGTACGCGCAGCTGACGGCTCCTGTCCCTTCAAAAAGGAGGACGGAACCCACTGCGCCGGCACCGCCGACACTAACGGACGCCACGCCACGCGCCCTAACGGACGCCACACTCCATGGTTAAGAGGCGCAAGAACCTGCGCGACACCATCGCGCGAGCCCTACGTGAAGCCGGCATTTGCGACATCGCAGTCGAACCATGTATTCGCCCACCCACCGGGCCGTGCAATCTGGGGTCTCCGCGCGGACCTCAGGTGCACCGACAGTGACGGCCAGTGGGCTCATCTTGACCTAACGATCGCGCATCCCGCCTCGCAGCAGAACCTGCAGGCCAGAGGGGCCCATACCCAAGGCACCGCTGCAGACTTGCCGAACAGGCCAAGCGCCGCAAATACAACGGAGTCGCTGGTTTCCATCCCCTCGGCTTCGAAGTTTCGGGAGCCATGGGCGAGTCCACCCGGAAATGGCTCGCGCAGCAAGTGCCGGAGGGCCCTGGGCGACAGGAGATTCTCAGCGCTCTCCATTGGTCCATCGCCACCTGCGTGGTCCGGGAGATTGCGCGCACGCTCATCAGCGCTGCCTGAGGTGGTCGTCGGGCCAGCTGCAGCGCGCCGAACGCAGGGGTCTGGTGGCTCACGCCCCTGGGCCTGGAACCAGCGGCTTAGCACGACGACAGCACTAGCGCGAGGACAGCACTGCTGCAGGAGGACGCACGAGGACAGCTCTAGCACAAGGACAGCGCGAGGACAGCACAGCACGAGAACAGCACTAGCACGAGGATGGCACTGGCACGAGGACAGCACTAGCACGAGGAGGGGAAACGCGCCGAGGAGGCGCGCCGAGGAGGAGCGGCGAGGCTGAGGAGGAGCGGGCCCGGCGCGCGGGCGGGCGCGCGCGGCGCCGCGCCGGGCGCGGTGGGCGCGGGAGCGGCTGCGCTCGCCGCGCGGCGCGCCGAGGCGGCGGGCCTCCCATCGGACTCCGGGAGGCCCCGCCGCCGCGAGAGGAGGAAGAGGAGGAGGAGGAGGAGCGAGCGAGCGAGCGACCCCGGCAGCAGTTCGACTTCGGGCACGGTGCACGAGCCTAGCAAATTTGGGCGCCTGTCAGCGTCCTGAGTTGCTGCTAGTTCCGTCATTAGGCGAGGCGGAAGGACACCTGAGGGAGCCCGTGAGGGCCTATGTGGCCTTGGGCCCCTCGTCGGCCCTAGGCCGTCTCCATCCTCCTAATTAGAGCAAAACGAGAGGGCGAAACTCTAGGCTCAACCCTCCCTACCTACAACTATATATGTAGTTTCATGCTTAGTGGACGCTCCGGGCACACTCTGTATACAAGTATGCGCATCGCGTGCTCGCTGCGCCGTGCTACACGACATGCATGCGTGTGTGAAACATTGAACGTGATGCTGCAAATTTATAGTGCCAGTGCCACCGCGCTCAAGGGTCTCATAATGCAAGAATCACTGCTGTAGTTGTCGTGGCTGCCACTTCGCCATGGCAGTGAAAGCAGAACTCGATCTTGATGGGTAGAGCTCGATGTAACTCAGATCCCATTACCACTCCCAATTTGAGTCCGTGGTTGTGGGACATCTGACACATTAAGGCAAAGAAAGGACTAGTATGCTGTAGTCTGTGCCCTCCGCGTAACGGATGAGAGATGTATTGGTAGTCATGTACTGAGAGAAACTGCTGAAGCCAATGGATCTGCGTGTCAAACGGCGGCAAGCAAAGTAGTTTCACGCATTATCTGCACCTTGGCTAATGTCTGCCTGACAAAGTTTGTCGCACCATGTTTCAATACCTGCAGGATTTTTCTGTTTTTTTATTTTAAAAAATATATATAAAAAAAAAAACGTCCACATAATCTGCAGCCGCTAGTGAGTAGCCCATGGCGGTCCCCCGATCGGCTCGAAAATCATTTCCATCCCTGGGTGGTTTTTAATCCCAACTGCACGATCAGCTCGATAGTACTTGCTCCCAGTGGCGCCTCTTTGGATGCTGAATGAGCCGTCCAGATCTCATCGCATGATACTGAAACATTGATGTCCAAGCTTGTCACCTGACTCGGTGAACCATGTCGTGCATTTACCGACCGCCTCTCTCAAAAGTGACGGCGTAGTGCTCTTGGGCGGCAGGCAATCAGGGAAAGGAAAGAAAGCCACCGTACGTGCTCCAATGCGAAATTTATTCCTGGCGATCCGCCCTTCGATGCCCCTTGGCCTTGTTGGGAACGAGATCTGCTGCAGAGTGCCCTTTTATCTCCGCGTTGAACATCACCGCCAGGCCGTAGGACCGGTTTGGCCACCATGAATTTCGGGACCCGAACTCCACGCAAGTGTGGTTCGGCAAGTTCATCTTCGTCTCGTCCTCGTCCTTCATGGCGGCGCGCTCGGTTCCGTTGAGCATCAGAATATCGACGGTCGGCTTGAGAGTCGGTGCCTTCTCCAGACGGGTGTGATCGTCCCATTCAACATTGTATGCCAGACCTCGCAATACCATGGCGAAGACGATTCCTGCGGATGGAGGGAAGGAAAAGTAGGTACTGCAGGCCAGCCTAGGCCTGCCGCCCCGCATGTTAGTGACCTCCACCCATGGGTTGTACGGTGTGGCAGGTGTGGTGGGAGCTCCTGCCGTGCTGAGAGCCATAGCAGCTCCTGGAGGAGGAGGAGGAGGAGGAGGAGGAGGAGGAGGAGGAGGAGGAGGGAGTGTATCCTGGATGTGGCAGGGTCGCCCTGCTAGGCAACATCGCCTGGGCCTGCCGGTGCGCCAGGGGAGGTCCGCCTCGCTCGGGCGTGCGATGCAGCGGGGCGGCGCCCGCCGGCGAGGAGCGGCGCCGCCGGGTGCTGGAAGCCTCGCGAGAAGGCCGATGGCGCTGCGTCCGCAACTGGCGTTGACGACGCACAGTTGCACGCTCCCTTCCCTGCCGCAGAGAATAGCAGAGGGGGAAGAGGTGCCCGCATCGCTACCCTTGCCCCGTTTTCCCTATCTGGGGCCTCCAAGGGGGGACCTCGTCGCCACGGCTGGATTCGCCTTGGAATCCTGGTCAGAACGCACCCTGGGAAAGGCGCGGGGAGTAGAGGTATCGGTACCTTTCGCTTGCTTCAGAACGTGTCAAAAGGTCGTGGGGGGAGGAAAGTTTGCGGGCCACCCCGAATGAGGCGCGGTCGATCGCTGGACGTGTTCGGGTTCGCATGCACCTGCGGGTGAACGGCTGGCGAGACGTGGTCGAACTGGCGGCACGTCGCCGTGAGGGTGCTCACGGCGTTTTCATTGCCTGCGATCTGCGCCTGCTTGCCGCCGCGCACAGTGGGCCAGCCGGCAAATCGCGTCGTGACCCCCTGGTGACCTCGAGCGGTTCAGGCACAGGCATGTGTGTACATGTTCAAGCGAGTCGAGCGCTGCCTCGAGCGCGAGGAGCTGATGAGCGAGGGCGCCGGTGCGGAGCTCACTGCGCGGGCCACACCCCAACGACGAACAGCAGCGGTTGCACACGTGCGAGTGCGACGGAGGGGCGGGGGGGCACCCGCACGAGCACCCAGCTCGCCTGAGAAACGCTCGCTCCCAAGGAGCGGAGCGGTAGGAGAGCAGCCCATCCGAGGCCGTCGAGGGAGCAGCCGCCGCCGTCGCCACGGGAGATATGCAGCCGTTCCGCGCCGCCCAGGGGGCCGTGACACGAGGTCGGGGGCGGGAGCGCCCCTGCGGGCCGCTTGCACGAGGAGTTCGGGTTCGCTGGCTGGAGGACCCCGAGATCCGACGTTGCGACAGGGGTGCAACGCCGCAAAAATGTCACGACCGGAGCCCTGGACCCCATCGCTCTGCGTCTTGAACTTCGAGGCGGATCGATCTGTGAGGGCCCCGGGGGCCGAAGCCTTGCAGAATGCCGCCCGTTGGGGAAAAAAGGGCGACGCCAGGATCTCGGGGGAGGAGCAGGATCGAGTCCGCCAGCCAGGCCCCGGCTCGCCCTCGTCTCCGCGCGCGCGCGGAGCGCGCCGCCTCCCCCGAAAGGACCACCGGCCGCCCACGCCTGGGGCGATGGCCGACCCGGGCGGGCCGGCCGACCCGCAGATGGCGGTGCACTACCAGCAAGTGCCGCGGAGGGGGGAGGGGGGGTGCCCTGGATGGATCGAGGAGGAGGCGGAGGAGGTGAGGTGGAGGAGGGGGGGTGGCGGAGGATGGAGGAGAGTGGAGGAGCGGGCAGCGGATGAGCGGGAGGCGGACGAGCAGGAGGAGGGGGGAGGAGGAGGAGGAGGAGGAGGAGGAGGAGGAGGAGGCGGAGGAGGGGAGGAGGAACAAAAAGGAAGAGGAGGAGGAGGATGAGGATGAGGAGGAGGAGGAGGAGGAAGGGGGAGGGGGAGGGGGAGGGGAGGGGAAGGGGGAGGAGGAGAAAAAGGAAGAGGAGGGGGGAGGCAAATGAGGTACGAGAGCGTCGTCGTCATCGTGGTCGCCAGTGCCATCGTCAGTCTCCCCTCCCACCCCACAGCCAGCTGTGGGCTCACAAATTCGCCTCGGCCTCTTCAGGCTAGTTAGCCACTCGGGAGATGAATGAGGAGATGAATGAGGAGGAGGAGGAGGAAGAGGAGGAGGAGGAGGAGGAGGAGGAGGAGAAAAGCAAAAAGAGGAGGAGCCTGGGGGAGAGTGGGGGATGAGGAGGAGGAGGGGGAGGAGGAGGAGGAGGGGGAGGAGGAGGAGGAGGAGGGGGAGGAGGAGGAGGAGGAGGAGGAGGAGGAGGAGGAGGAGGAGGAGGAAGGGGAGAAGGCGGCGAAGGAGGAAGCGGAGGATTGAGGAGCAGGAGGAGGAGCAGCAGGAGGAGTAGGAGGTGGGAGAGGTGGACAGTGTCGGACGAAAGAGGGTGATAGGGAAAGAGAGCGGGTACGAGACCCCGCCACTTAGTGCCTGTCGTCGATACGTGGGCGCCTCCTGGCGCCTGAAGGTGCTGAAAAATACTACATACGTGAGCTGATCCGCTGAACTGCATTTACCACAGCCCCCTCTCGCCCGTCCCGAGATGAGGGTCGAGCAAAATGTTAACAACTCATCATACGCAGAGTCTCTCGAAGGTCCGCGCTGATTTCTTGCACCTGCGCCAGATTCCCTCGACGGCGCCTCTGGCGCCGCCCCTGACGCGATCCACGCTCTAGGGAGGGGCGTCCAGCGTCGATCTAGGAAATCTGCTCTCACTGTCGAAAGACAACTATACATAGATAGCTCGGTACATATTTGCTTCGCCGCTTTCGGCTTCCAGCCAAGACCGCCGGCAAAGCATCCAGATCTGTGGGGCGATGCAGGAACAAACAAAGATGTTTCGCCGGAGGGGTTGGGAGCAAGAAGAGAATGGGGATGATCGAGGAAGAGGAACAGAGGAAACCCAGGATTTATCGACGATTCTGCAATACATACTCCCGTCCCAAGTCCCCTCCATATAGGTCCCTGGAATTATATGCCTGCCGACTCCGCGTGGGTCCTGCCACTCAAGCGAGGCCCAGTGTTGTAAAGGATCTAGCCGCCATCTGTTTCACGAGCTGAATCTGAGGCTCAAACAGGCAGTTCGCATGACAAAGTGCCAGGACATATCCAGCGATGACACTGTTTTGAAGCGGACCTGCCATCCATCCGTGTAAGCGATGCACACTTCTACAGCGCTAGTCATCATAGTTCCGGAAGCCCACTGGAATAGCTGAATGTTGAACAGAAGCGACATCTCATCCGTGCAACCGTTGCGCATGTTGTTTAATGTGTCTTCGAATTTTAGCCGCATTGTGAAAATGAGCCGAACTCCATCCGTGTAAGGGTTGTTTGCTTGCACTTTGAACTTTCAGATCTTAGACTCTGAGGAAGTGATCATCGATAGGCGAGAGCCTCATTTTGAAAATTAGTCGCCCACCACCCGTGTAACTGGTGTACAATTTGGATTCCCAGCCGACAAGACGCTTATATATAGAGAGAGGGATCCGCATTTTGAAGTCGAATCGGCATCCATGCTTGAAAATGCTGGGATACTTTCAAGTGGGCGCGTGCGGCGCTAAGACGAGAGCTGCATGTTTTGCAGCAGTCGGCCCGCCATCCCAATATCTGATGGCCAACATCAAATCGAAGAAGCACGAGGCTAGTGCAATTGCGGCAATGTTTGATGACCTCTGGACATCCATCTCTGTAGCTGTTGGACATGTCACAACGGCTGTGCGCCTCGCTGAGGCGAGAGCCAAATTCGAAAATGTGCCGGCCCTCCATCCCTCCAGCTGTTGGAAATTTCTAAAGCCGATGTTGCTGGCGCTCTGGCGAACGCCGCATGTCGAAAACGATTGGATATCCATATTGGTCATTGTTGGATACATTTCAGCACGTTGGTAGCAACTTGCACGGAAGTCTCAAGCGAAACGCCCGACCCTGCCTGCGGGCACGTCTTGTGCTGCGACAGAGAGGACGCATTTTTGCGTTTATCCAGTCGCCTGCGGCACGTCCCACCACTGTGCCAGCCCAGTATTCTGGGTGGTGACATTTCGAGGATTACCGGAGGACGTCACGTGTGACATCTCGTGTCTCCAGGTTTGGGAGAGACGTGATGATGATGACGACGACAACGACGAGGAGCAGGAGGAGCAGGAGGTGGAGGAGGAGGAGGAGGAGGAGGAGGAGGAGGAGTAGGCGGAAGACCGTCACATGGGACATCTTTCGTCTTCACTGTTTGAGGGGCTCTCATGAAATTCGTTTTGGTCGTGTTGGGGCTGTCTTGGCCTCCTGCAAGGCTGTCTGGGAGGTGTCTCTTGGGGCCCTCGTGGGCCCTTATAGGGGCTCTCTTGGCCGTATGGTGGGTGTCTGGGGGCCGTGGTGGGGCCGTGTTGGCGCCGTCTTGGGCAGTCGAAGGTCTTTCTAAGGCAGTCTTGGATCTCACGCGAGGCCCTCTTGGGCCCCGTCTCGGGGCCGTCTTGGATGCCCCTTGGGCCCTCGTGAGGTCCTTTCAGGCCGTCTTTTAGCCATCCTGGAGGCTTCTTCGGCCGTCTTGAACTGACAGAAGCTTGAAAAGACGAGAAACTGTAAACCACCCGCAAGCCAACACACGATCTCTGATTTGGGCTGATTCGAGCCCTCTTTCAGGGCCTCGTGTGGCCCCGTTGGGCCCTCTTGGGGGCATCTTAGGCCGCCTTGAAGCCACATTCGTTCCCTTTGTGGCCAAGGCATCGTGGGCCATCGTGGTGTCTTTCTTTGCCTGCATTGGCCGCCTTGGAAGCTCGGAGCGCGGATCCATCGTGTTCAGCGAGGGATCGTTGCCTCGGGAGATGGGGGGGGTGGGATGCATGCGTCTGTCTGCTGCTAGGGGGGGACCCTTATGCGAATACAGACGCCCCACAGAGCATCCCTTCCCATTCTTACGCGCCCACATCGGGCAAGCACGGTGGCGGATAAGAAAGTGGGATGGAGGAGTGGGAGGAGAAAGAGGAGGACGAGACGGAGGAGCGGAAGCAGGAGCAGGAGGAGGCTCGAGGCTCGAGGCTCTTCCTCCGCGTCGGGCCTCACGGGGCCTTTGGGGAGGACCTCCGTAGGGCTTCTGGCGGTCGACCACCGGCAGGTGCTGCGGAGGCCAGGGAACACCCAAACCGTACAGCGTTGAGATCAGGCCGTGGCCTCCCCGGGTCGAGACGTCGGGGGGCACTCACAATGCCGGGGCCTGGGCACGGGAAGCATCGATGATGATGGAGGCTCGCGGGTCGAGCTTCCTCTCCTCCTCCGCCTCCTCCTCCGCCTCCCGGTGCGCTGCGTCGTCGGCGCACGCCTTCGGCGCTCGAGTGGGGCGTTGCAGGGACGCCGCTCAGAACATGGGCTCCTGCGGGCCAAGCTTGTGGGGGTCGCCCCATCTTCTTCCGGTCGTAACGATGTGTGCAGCGTCATGGTGTTGCCCCCGCGGAGGGTGGACCGAGTGCTTCAGCAGTTTCAACAGCAGCTTCAGCAGCTTCAGCAGCAGCAGCAGCTTCTCCAGCAACATCAACATACGCAAGGAGGTGGTGCAGGTGTACACGCACCCCAAAATGGTGCACAGTGGGCGCGCGGGGACTGCTGTCACCGCAGGGACAGCTCGGCGCTGCTCCAGTGCAGGAGTGGCCGGCAACCGCGATCAGCACCTCGGCTCGCCACCTCTTCGATGCCTACGGATTCGTGGAGGTCGCCGCCTCCAGGACAGGTGGTCGTGGGGCGGGCCGGCTGGTCCTACACGTCCAGGTGGTGGTCGTGCTCTGCGCCCCAGGACTTCGTCCCTCCACCCTGGAGGGTCCGCGGGCCAAGGCCGTCGACAAGCGGGTCACCGAGCCATCGGTGCGCCAGGCCATATCAGGGCGAGATCGCGCAGCTCTCTTTCTACAAGCAGTGCTTGCACTGCAGGGGTCCTGGCGGAAGTTCAAAAGATCTGGCGAAGGCTTCCCGCCGACGTTGGTAGCAGGCTGGGTTCCCGGGTTCCCGGTTCCGGATTCCCGGGTTCCCGGTTATTGGTTCCGGGCGGATGTCGGTGGGTTCTGGGTTCCCACGCTCCCAGGTTCCCGGTCGATCTCCTCAGCGAAAACCATCCACTGATTGGGGTTTTTCTCTGGTGTAATGGCAGTCCCTTCCAGCAACAGGTTAGCCGATCGTTTTCGTTCACGACGTGCGTGCATTGGAAGGTCGGTTGGCCATGCGTCTTGGTACCCACGAGGCTGCGGAGGCACAACTTCGAGAACAGCGTGAGCGAGTCGCTTCGCTCACGTGCGAGCTCGAGCAGGCTGCGGCAGTGCACAAGGCGTTTGTCATCAAACTTTATGCGCACGTCGGGGGCCCACCTGTGCAGTCGGTTCCCCCGTTACTCCTCTCAGTCAATGGCATATGGGCTAACAAAAAAATGCCGATCGAGTTCGAGTCCTTAGTGCAGTTCTAACCGGATGAGTGCGAAGTATCACCTGAGGTACAGCAAATTCGACGGTAAAGTCGGGAGGATCGACTTCTGATGAGGCCAAGGAGAGCTAGCTGATTTCTGCAGCAGACTGTTCCCACAGCTGAGTGCGTCTGTGTGTTTTGAGAAATAAAGTTATCTTCATCTGACATTTCCACTAATGTCTCATTCGAGGGTTGT